GCCCGCTGCTCCCCTCAGCAGTGTACTTCATTGATCTGCCTGTTCTGCTCCCCACTCTGTCCCTGGTGAATCCTCTCACCCTCCGCATCTATATCCTGTACCTCAGTTCTATATGAATAAATAAATAAATCTTTTTTAAAAAAAATTTTAATATCACTTCTCCCCATAGCAGCTGAACCAATTTACATTCCCACCGATTTAGAGTTCCATTGTCAATAGCCTTTGCCAGCTCTTGTTTACAGTCCTTGTCTTACAGATGTGAGGTCTTATCTGTTTGTGATTCTGGTCTGCATTTCTACAAGGTAAGTTTTGGTGTGTTTTGATTTAAGTTGGTGACTTCTCCAATAATAATAGGGTCTTTTGTTTGTTTGGTTTTGTTGATTTAATCATCCTTTACTTTCTGCTGCAGAGAGGGAGATACCCTTACAAGTAGAGATTTCCTTTATAATGTACATTTCCCTTATAAAAGGATAATTTCTACTTTGCTTTTTCTGTGTTGTCTGCTATTTCTCAAAATAATCAGCTCCAAATAATCCTTATGCCAAAGAGCTTATTTGGGGATGTCATGTAGTGCAAGACAAGTAAATAGACAAATATATTAGAGATGCTAAATATAAATTACATGTACACCTGTGTTGGAAGTAAGTGCAGGGGACTGTGAGGAGAGAAGAGAATTGTTGGAGGGTACAAGCCCTGGGGTGAATTTTCAGAATTAATTAGATGTTAGGTGAAGAAGCCGGTCATTATACTCTCGGCTCACTGAGCAACACAAAGGATGAATCCTAATGTAAATTATGGACTTACTGTTAACAATGTGTCAGTATTTGTTAATCAATCATATGTTTAATAAGCTTCACAGTGATTCCAATACCCCGTCCAAGGAAAGAATCATTGTTCTCAGCTGACACAAATTTACACCCAATGCCCAGATTCCCAAATCCTGGGCTCCTGCTTGATTCCTGAGATGTCTTCATTCAGGTAGGTGAATTTCTGGCTTGCTACCATGAGTAAGCTACAAAACACAGGGTGGAGGGCATGTGTGGGAGAGTCTATGTCTCTTATCTCTTAAATTAAGTCTAGTCTGGGCCCTCCCTGGTGGTGCAGCGGGTTAAAGCACTGCACTAAGAAGCTTAAGCCACTTCTTCATGAATT